TCAACCCGAGGACTGGTCGGTTGTACGCACTATGCGATACTAGAACGGGCGCTAAATCACGATCTTTAACCCGTGTTGCCGGTTGTTTCCTGGACTCGTTCAACATAGGTGCCATCTGTTGATATGGGGCCTCCGTTTGAGCCTCCACCTGTAGAAGAGCCGACTTCATAATACCGGTGGGTGACGTGGCCCGTCTTCTTGTCACTCGTTCTTCGTTGACTGACAACGGAACCGCCATCCCATTGCCGGTAGCCTTGCCTTCCGGAAATTGTATCGTAACTCGACGACTCGCAGTATCTGGCTTCTTGACTGCGCGCTTGGCTTTATGCTCCCGACGACTTTCCTTCTCTATGTCGGCGCTCAAACTCTTCTGTAAATCGGTAGCCCGTTGGAGAGCCTCGGTCTCCGACCTGTGAAGCTGCCATGTGTCTTCCATTTTCTTTTGTGTGTCCAGAAGCTTGCATAGCTCCTTTTCATTTCCGACGACTGCTTGCTGGTCCGTGGCTAGTTTTCGGACAACTTGCTGTAAGACCTTCAACTCAATCTGATCGCTTGACCATGTCTCCAGATTCGCCGCCAGATTGTTTTTTCCTTGCTTCACCGCTTGCAGGCTTTCAGAGATAGCTTTCATGCGAGTGACTGCTGGCTCAACTATTTTTTGGATTTGAACTGCACATTCGTTGTCCTTAGCCCTTAGAGAGTCTTCGGCCCTCTGCGTGACATGTGCAAGCTCTTGTTGGAGGCTACTGTAGCTCTTCTCAGCACCTTGCAAGCGTTTTTGGATGTCTTGATATTCTTTAGAAGCTGTTGTGGATGCTTCGGCTTTTGCTTTCTCAACTGCCCGCTGCTGGTCTTCAAGACTACTAGCGATTGTCTGCTGATGTTCTTCCGCTTGCTCGCGGATCTGGCGTTCCTGGGCCTCAACTTGACGATGTTGAGCTTCCAGAGCCTGCGCGACGCCTTTCAATTTTCGTTCCAACTCTTTGATTTGATTATCCTTCTCGCTTAAGGATCTGTAGGTCTCCTGTCTCGCATTTTCAAGTTGGCTGACTCGCGCCTCAGCCTCATCCGTGTCCTTAGCTCTAGCTTCGAGAGTGATGAGCTCTTGTTGGATACTCTCATATTGTGTCAGCTTCTTCGTGGCCTCATCTCTTATGAGGGCAATCTGTTCTTCAAGTTTGTCTATTTCCTGACGCAAAGAAAGATTGTGCTCTTGGATCTGCTCATACTTCCCTTTCCATGTCGATGCGCTTTGTGCACCCACAACTTGTTCGGTAAGTCCGGAGCATACTTCGCGGATGGCTAAGATTTCCTCTTTCAAGTCTTGTGTGGTCGCTGCAGACAGCTCACGTTCGGATGCTGCATTCTCGCGAATTTCCGCCAGGATTCTGTTTCCACCAAACTGTGTCAATAATCTGAACCCCAGGCACAGAAACTGGTCACTTACGAATTTTTTATCTCGTTTTGTAGCGCTTCCAGGCCCTTTGCCAACTCGGAACGGTTTACTGTACTCTCCCTGTTATCTTTCAACGCCTCAAGAGCTGATTGCATTCTAGATAGATTAGTCTAGCTTTCGCCTTCGTATGCGTTCAAAATTTCCGCTTACTGTGTTCCCTGCTGGTTGATGTGCCCTTCGATCATTTTGAACTGGAGAAAGCCCTGGTTAAACTTATCCATGAGCTCTTCATTTTGTGTCTTCAGAGCCATGATGTCGTGCTTGTTCATTCGTTGCGACTCTTGCAGCTCTTGATGAAGATTGGCTTTCAGGTTCTCCTCTTCAGCAACTCTTTTCTCACGCTCCGCTAGCTGCGTTTGAAGGCTTGTTACGTTGGTGTGTACTAAACGACATCAGCTTTGAAGTTAATCTTAACTCTTTTTAGCTTACGTTTCTGTATCTCTTGTTGAGAAAGTACCCGAACCTCTTCTACACTCTGTTGAATCCTTTCCCTGATCTTATCAGTGGTGGAAAGAGCTTTCTCATGTAGACCCCCATGATCCTTCCCAGTCTTTTTCATATTTTCTATCAATTCGTGATATCTGGACCGGACATACTGAAAGATTCTCTGCTGCTCCTTAGTAGAATCCTCAATTTGACGTTTGTACTCTTTCATCCTTCCTCGCATGTCCTGTCGTCTACTCTCCAATTCTGTCAAAGCACCCTCTTGGCTTTGGTGAATAGCACGTTGTTTATCATTCTCGGTTTTGAGCTTCTTGATGACTTCTTCCCGCCTATGGATCTTGGCGAGATACTCCGCTACTCTATCGTCTCTTTCGGCTAATTCGTCGGCCATGCTTTCCATCTTTTCTTCCCAGTGCAGCTTTCGGGTGTCTTCGTAAATAAAATAATCGTTGAATGATTGAGCAAGGGTATGGCGAGGTGCGTTGATGACTTCCTGAGGAACTCGACTTGTCTGTTTTCTCTGTCCGTTTCTGTGTCTCGATGATCTGGGCGCTCGTGGCTTTGATACATTCGAAGATTGCGAGACAGGTCGTATTCGCGCAGCGTGGTCCCCTTCCTGACCTTGGACGTAGGGCCGAGTCATTTCGCCCATGCCAGATCGATTGTTTCGGGATCTACTAACCGCAGCTGAAGTCTGTGCATCGCCGAGGAGTGGAGAACGATTTACCATGGGAGTCGGAGCGGTCTTTTCTCGAGATTGCTTCATTTGAGAATCAAAGGTATCAGGGATCCCGGTAGCGTCCTTGTCCAAGTCTGAATTATTGTTATTGAACATTGATGGAGACACCCGCTTCGTTTGAGACTTCAAAGGAGGGCTTGTCCGAGTTGATTGGATGAGGGCTTTACGCTGGATATTTTCGAAAGCCTTCGGAAGCTTTTGGTCGCCTAGCTTGGTAATTGGCGAGCGGGTGTTCCCTTTACGTCGTTGGACGGGGGAGGATATCTTCTTGGAGAGAGATTCGGTTTGGAGCGGTGGCATGGGCTGTGGAATATCTTGAGGGAAACTACCTTGCCGCTTTTCGGAATCATCGGAATCATCAGACTGTGTATCACTAGGAATGGGGATTGTACAGGATGCCTTCGTTTTCGTGTCCAGCGACGGTATGTTGGTGTGTCTTGCTGTTACGACCCCAGGTGTACCTCCATTGCGATGAGCGGAATCATCCGCCACCTTGCGTCTGATGTCCGAATATTGATTATCTGTCCTGAGGAACCCGTCGTCCTTCTTTGGGCCACTCTTTAGGGAGATCGGCGTCGAGGTCATGCTTGGCGGTAGGTGCATATTCTTTGGAGTTGGCGCCATACTAAACTGGAAACTATTCTGAAGCTCTAGAACATCTTCGTGCTGGGGTCGACTAATAAACGGGAACCTTGGCAGCTGTGGCGGTAGCATCGTTGCTGTAGGTCCAGCCTGAGAATCTGTATTGTTCTGGTCACACGTGGTATCTTGAGTCTCTTGGGAAGCCCCCAGCAAAGGTATGAGATTTGACTCGATGACTCCTGATTCTTGAGTGTCTCCCAGGTCGCCGGGCTGTTCGGATCGGGGCAGTTCTGGACTGGAATGTTTGATGTCCTTTGACGCCATCTTGAAGGTGCGCCAAGGAGCTGGCTGAAGATAAGAAGCAATATGGAACAATAGAGTTGATGCCTTTGGGCGCCTTTGCGAGCAGAACGGATGTTCATACGTTTGCCCAACAACGTTGTGATGACTGAGCTGTGAACAAAGTGGTGTTGCGGTTTGAGAACTATGCCCATTTCACCTCGAGATACTGGAGACCCCAAGAAGGCTTTTGGTATCATTGCCTGGGGCTGCGAGCATTTGGATTCCGCAGGGCCACGGGCACGGCAACAATGGACACAATGGCAGCAGCTTTTGAAGCAGATGGATGTGGCAACCGACCACAAAAAAGGGCACCGAATAAGGTACCAGATAGAATCACGTGGGCTCCCTCTCACAAAACCCGGAAGGTGCGTCTGCCCAACGTCGAACTGGATTGCGACTTCCTACCACAGATGCCAAAATACCAAGGTAGGTACCTACCTACACCTACCTAAGTGCCTCCCACCAAAGGAGCGCGGGCGGGCCACAAGGTTCAATGTTCCATTGGATGGCTCGATCCCGGCTCTAGATTGGGTTTATCATATGAAGGTTAGAACGTAGATGCTTTGAGTGTTGCCCCCTTTCGGATACCCCTATTGCCATCTTAGTGTGGAAAGACTGAGCATCGGATAGAGTATCGTGGAAACCCAGACTCACCTGAACCTGGCAGCATATATGTACGAGTAGCAAATCGCACAAATTCAATGCATTCATTCCCAGCTCGTTCTCAAGAGTATGCGTGTCTTTCTGTATTAACACAAGCCTATGCTACTACGCCTGCGGGATTTAGACAATATCTTTCACAATGCCTTTCTCTCTCTCCAGAGTCTCTCTCAGATTTCTCATAGACCAGCATCTTCCCAACAATGTGGCAGTAAATAACGTAAGCTTTGGTACGCGTTTTCGAGCCAGATGCCTCATTCACGTGCCCTGGGCAACTGGCTTTTCTCGGCCAAGTTTAAGTATACACTGCAGACTTACTAGATAGAAGGCCTACGCTCCTATTCCGATCATTGACAATCTTCTACTGTAGCATTTGTGCAACTGACGATAATTGCGTGAGAAAAGTCTATCACATAGAACCTAAACTCACGAAGCATATCTGTCCCTCAATGCCAATACCAGAGACTACCTAGGTAATACAAAGTGTCACCGAATACGCCAGTTCGCACTAATGGTAAGTAAGCCTCTCCTATCGTATCGAGAAAGCTGGACGTATCTCGGTTGGACTCAGATGCCTGCTACATAGAGCTTATATCTTTCAAGTGAAAGTGACTCTTGATTTGACATTGATGTCTATACCCATACATCCTCAAAGGGGACTAACAACACTGCAGTTAAAAAGAAAAGGCCGCGTGGGTGCAGGGGATAACAATCGACTGAACGAACATTGGGAAATGAAGGAGTTGTCTCCCAGCGAGGCAAAAGGTACGACGATATCGCTCAGGATGAGGGTCGAACTCATGACCTTCGCATCACCAATGGTATGATGTCTCATTAGTACGACGCTCTAACCAACTGATGTAACGAGGCATGTAGATAGGGCATTGACTGTGATGGACGCTTTGTAAGTTGTACCATTGGTATATGATTGTTGGTTCACCGCTATTGGGAGTGGTCACTTGTGAATTGTTTGCATCTTACCCAGCATTGTCCTGTTGACATTCGGCGAGACAAAACGCAGCGATTTCATTCAGTTAACCATATGTATGGCTGGCTCCTGATGTAGAGAAGTCTGCCTACATGTGCTCGGATCTCGGCTAAATGATCTCACCTTCACTATCAATATCAATACTATTATCAGCTCAAGTTCAGATATAGTGTCGCCGTATGGATTTTGAATCTCAGGTTGTACCAAGTGTGCAAACAATAGCAGCTTTTATAACACAGCAAAAAGAACATAACATGTCACAGCACTGGCTTACCATCAGGTGGCAATACAGAATGCTACAAACCAACCCCGCGTCCACGGTGCACCCATACAGAGCCTATACTACAATTAAAAAAAACCAGCCTCATGCGAAACCCATCGATAGATGCGCTGAAGTGTCTGTAAATCATACGAGACCAAAGGCGCGTGCGTGTCAGAGTGGAAGTAGCTGATCGACGCGGCAAATCAGTTGCGATGGAGAACTTCGCATGGTAGACCGCCGCGACAGGATTTCTCCAGGTCTGTGTTTGGGCCGGTTTTCATCTCCTCTCTGTTGCAGGTGGACTATAATTATACTCCTTCTCGCGGGGTTGCTACCTAGTTGCTGGGTGTCTCTGTGCCCGATGGGCGGCAAGTGAGGCCATTCACGTCGGAGCCGAATTGGGTGATAGGAGGCTGGAGGCTGGGACCTGCATGCAAATTTATCGCCGGCTGAAGGAGATCCGAGCGCTTCGCGGTGGGCGGTGTCGAAAGCAGTGATGTTGAATATTGCTTTAATTGAATTCATTTGAAAGGAGCCATTGCAAAGAACTCCGAATCAAACCTAGCCGTGATACGTGATACAGTGAAATCAACCCGAATCAAATTGAATTGAGTCCACATGTAGAGTTGCCCAGTCAGGCCAGTCCCGGTACTGTATGTGACAGCGATTGCCGTCACTTTCGTCAGCTGTGTCTACCATGTCAACGAACCACGGAGGTTCCCCGGCGATCAGCCACACACCTGTTCCTTCCTTGGTCGACCCTCTAGCGATGGATACCCAACAAACACATCACCTATAAAACCCATCTTAATGCGAACAGCAAAGAGATCTGCCTTTTTTTTGGGCACTTGGTATGAAAAAGTATAAGCATATAAGCAATAGCAATAAGATCGACGCCAAGGTCGGAATCTCATCACGCCAGTAACCGTCTCCAGCTCTAGATGTGACTGGGCTGGGGCCAAGACACGAATACCCCAGTCGCGGGCCTCTCATTGGCCGCGCGCGCACGCAAACGTTGGAAGCGCCTAAAGTACCGGCGCTTCGGTCTCCAATGAGACGAGAATAGAGCACGCCTCGACGTCCCTGGGTTTCATGGCACAGGCGTAGCAGAGTAGGCTTGGTACCTTGCGCACCCAATGGGCAATAACGGAAAGAGAATGCCACACAGGGCCTGTGGTTGCTAGCAGTCTGGTCCATGGAATGTGCCGGTAGCTATGCGCGAAGGGGGGGGGGGGGGGGGGGGGCACCTTGATATCAACATGTTCCACCAAGTGCTGAAGTAGGCCTTCTTCCCTACATACATGTATACTAGTCTGCCCTGCACACCTCGTCACATCTCTTCACACGAAGTTGCATGTCACGAGCTGTTGAGTCGACCCTCCTTGCCTCCCTGTTTGTTTGGCGATCGATAAGATATTGTCGGCGCTGTCCCTCGCTTGAAAGCCGTTGTATCCTCCTTCTCTTCCTGTTCTGCTATACCTCTTGAAAAGCCGGGTCTCACAAGGAGCTGTTATCGCCGGCCGCATTGTTTCTGCGAGTTTAAACCAACATTATTTCAACTCCGTTGGATCAGGCCACATTTTACGTCATGGCCACCAACACCGCAGACTTTCCCCTAGCGACGGACGACCCGTACGCATACAGTGGTCCTGCGCCGGGCGCTGTAGATGATAATGCGGGCGCTGCCGGTGACAGTCCCGGGGCTGCTCAGCTGTCCCATGGTGCTTTGATTGCGATTATCGTGGTAGTGGCAGGTGTTGTCATTCTCGGCAGTGAGTATACCTCGTGACATCTCACAAAAAAGACAAGATTGACTAATGGCCATCCATAGTCTCCACGGCTGTGCTGTTCTACCTAGCCAAAAAGAAGGAGTGGAGAGTCCGGGAGAACATCAGGCGCTCCGCCAGGAAGGTGGTCACTGCATTGACACCCAGACGAGCGGAATTCCCCAGGTCTGCGAAGGACTCATCAGCGAGGGCGGCCCGAGGGCGTGTTCGCCTTGACGACGTACCGCCAACGCCAAAACTTCGATCTGAAGATGTTGAAAAGGGACTTGCGCAAGCGGGCTATCGGCAAGTTTCTGACGCGCGGGGGAAGAAATGGACGAGGAAGTAAATGTGTTATTTGCCGCTTGATAGAAGGGAATGGCTGGATACCAGAATGCAAATGACTTTGATGATGGACATAGGTGGATGGGTGCTCAACAGGTTTACTGTACGAATACTATGATTCATTTTGCACAGACGGATCGCAATGAATGAGCAGGTCATAGTCTTTATACCATTTGCTTTCTAATTTTTTGAAATGAATAACCGGGTATCTTAGATTCGCCTTAATGTGTTCCCGCTCGCACTACGCCTTGCCGCCGATCGTTTTTGTGATGTGTCCGCCACGGGCTCTTCTGCCCCCTTCTCTCTGACTTTCGGCTCTCTTGTGAACGTCATTTCTTTATCGCCAACCACGTCACCGCCCCTAGATTTGGTGGCACGGGCAGGTTTCTGGGCCCTTGATCCAAATGCTGTATCTCGTTCCCGATTCCCTCCTTCTCGGTTTGAGGAGCTAACGCGCATAACAACCGCGTCTTTCTTTGCGCTCTTAGATACATCTTCGGATTCGTCGCTTGCGTCGCTACTGCTGCCGCTATCGTCGTCACCTTCTGGCGAAGAATCGCGCGCAGGAACAAGACTCCTGCCAGTGACTGGGTCAACTGTTGTGCTCGGGTTGAGCGCCTTGAATTCTCGACTGTTCTCATCAATCTGGAACTCTGCATCCTCGAACATCCGGTTGAAACGATCGTCGCCAAGGATTCCGGCCTTTGTATCGACCGTAGCTCGCTTCTCCTGCTTCTTGAGAAGCTTGTCGACAAGTCGTTGGTTAACCTTGACCTTCTTGTTGCCGCGGATACGGCTCGCCCGTTCCTTCTCGACCTTCTCCTTGACGCGTTTCGCACGTTCCTCCTCGAAAGCGAACGGATTGGCGATAAGTCGAGCTTGCTCGTACAGTTTCGAGGCTGCGAAATAACCGTGCATGTAGGGTCGTAGCAGACTGGTCTTGCCAATCAAGTGGTCCATGCTGAGAGACCTCAGCTCGGGTAGCGTCAAGAACTTGTAGTTCTCGTAGTTGTCTGTTGTCACTTCGCCCGCCATTTCCTCTGTCAGAGAGTCGAGGTGTGCGGCCCAACGTGGTGAGTTCCCTAACTGGGGAATTAAAAAGGCATGCATCGCCTGGCCTTCATTTGCTGTCAGGATCATGCCTGTGCCCTTGACCCAGGTCGTGTAGTTGAGGTCGACGATCGGCTCGATGCTGGTCCATGTTTGCCCATTGGACTCCTCGTTTATCTTGATAAGCTGCTTGTCGCTAGATAATATCTTGCGCTCTGCCGAAGCGGTCGTCATATGTATCAGGTTCTTTATTGGGAACCCACTGCCGTGATCTTTCTCCCATAGTGGCTTCGGGCTTCGCATGTCGAAAAGCTTGACGACGCCACTTGAGCTTCCCGTGGCTATCGAGAGACCCGAATCGTTGAAATCGAGAGCTGTGATCTCTCCCTGCTGGCCACCTAGGACTGCGATTCGGGAACGGGAACGTGGGTCCCAGAACTATCATCCACAGTCAGACATTGAACTGGCGAGAGATTTGCAGACAAAATCTTACCTCGACAGAGCCTAATGAGGTCCCGAAAGCGAGAAGGTTGTGTGTGTTTTCAGCGATGGATATGGCATTTACGGCGGGTGCCCATACTATTCGGAAGCACAGTCAGTCAGCACACCAGAAAGACAGGCGCGAAATGGGCAGAGACAAGAGACGGATATGCGTACTGCTACCCTGCAATCCAACCTCGGAACCACTATCACCCCCGACATCTACTTTGTAGGATTGCATGAACCGCCCTGCTTCAAGATTAAAACGGAAAACCTCGCCATTGCCTTCAGGTCCCAGGCCTACGGACCCGACCAGGGCCTCGGTCGCAAGCCGGTCGTAGCAGAGATCTCGGCCATATCTGGGCAATTTGACTGTCTCGTGGAGGCCGGCGGGGGTGTGGAACTCGACTCTTCGATCGCTTTGCAAATGCAGGGACTTGGAGGCATCGGTGGACAGCAAGGTGAACTTGATGTTTAGACTCGTGGTGTGTCGGGCGTAGGACAGGGAGAGGTGCGGCAGGTAGTGAACGTGGATCTGGGGCTTGTAGGTGCCGGTCGAGACGATCCAGTTGTTGTCCTCGGAAACCTGGACACAGGCACTGGCCTCCTCGAAGGAGAAGTCCTGCAGGAGTTCGATGCGATTCTGGAACTCAGGGTCGGCTTTCAGACTGCGCTTCCGCCGTCGCGCGAGCCAGTCGGGGAGTGGTCTCGCGGTGTTGGCACCGGAGACGGTGTACACAGGCACGTCGCCCTGTTGGATATGCATGATGGACTGCACCTCCCAAGAAGGTAGGTTGCAAGTCCGCGGAAGGAGAGCGATCGAGGGTCAAGAATGTCTGCAGTCAACCATGATGCATGGATGCGAGGTAAACTGAAGATTGGCAGCAGCTGCAACTCGACTTGGAAAAGTTATAGTGGATCCGTGCCTATCGATAAGACCCAGGTGTTAGGTAAGGTTCGACCTGGGGCTCGCTGCAGG